CACTGCTGCTACAACCCTAAACCCCCATTAGGTGGTGATTGACAACTTTGGCAGACCTTTGAGAGAGAGAAAGTGCTATGTGGTCATGGAGTCTAAATTATCCTTCTGGTCCTAGGGTGGCCCTTCATATCAAACTGGAGTTCTCAGTGAGGCAATGTCATGAAACTGTTCCTGCTGTTGCTGCATTTAGTTTTGTGTCTACACAGATCTTGGGCCCCCAGAGCTATCACTCTGTCAACTTTCACTGACTTGGTAGGATACTGCTAAATACAGAGGCGTAGCAAGGAAGAAGGCAGGGGGGACAGTTGCCCTTGGGTGCCACGCTAAGGTGGGGTGGGAGCTGAGTGCACAGCTCCACGCATCGCGGTGAGCCCAGCGCTGGTGGGTCACATGCTCCCTGTGCAATCAAGCCTCCGAGGCAGAGACAGGCAACAGGAGCAGCCACTTCAAAGGTAGGGTTACCCAGGTAATTATTCAGGCAGCTGTTCAGCAATGCTGTTAGTTAGCAGGGGCCAGGATTTACTGTCGTGATGTCCTCACATATCTCTGACTCCATCAATGATGATAACCAGAAGGCTGCTTGCGTGTGTGCTCAGTGATGTGTGCTGCGTAGACTAGTGCACTTAGTCTTCACAGCAGACTCCAAGAGAGCCCCCAAAGATCACAAATCAGATAAGAATCGAAGACGCCAGCCTAGGTTTATTGTTAAGCAAAGTACATTAATAGTTGTCAATAGACTCTACTGAATCACTATGCATTTGTATCCCGTAACAATGAAACAGCTCAAAACAATGGAACACTTCCATTGTCCCCCTAGACCATTCAAAGACTATCCCCCAAGACACCACCTTATGTGCAGGTACAAACACATCACTACTGACATATGAGGTTGCCACCCTCTGATGTTGCCAGGCTACCATCAATCACCTTGTGCCTTGTGCCTTATGATCTGATTAGACCAGTGGTCCCCAACGTTTTGGGGCTGCCTGGCGGGTGTGGGGGCGGGGCCGCTCACAGGCCACGTGACTGGGGGTGGGGCCAAGCATGCGCCGCACGCCCAAGGTCAGCACCGGCATGTGCTGCGATCCCGGGCAGGGGCTGCCCAGGTTCCGCGCGGCGCCCCCGGGGCTGGGGCCGGGGCCAGGGCCAGGGCCGGCAAGGGCACGCGCGGCACCCCCGGGGGCAGGGCCAGGGCCGGCAAGGGCACGCACAGTGTACAGAGAGGCCGTGCGAACTCATATCAGCTCTGCTGCAAAACAGTGGTGGTGAGGCAGGGACCTCA